CTATACCTAATATTGTTGACCTTTTTTCTGAGCTCAACAAAGTGGTGACCCCGACGTGATTCTTTTCTCAAAATCTAGAAAAGAACTAATCATACTGTTGTGTGAAGTTAATTCAAAGAGTGGGTACATCGACCTGGTATATCAAGTTTCTGCGATTTTTTACGGCAAATCGGTAGATTTTCGGGATGTGGATTGCTCACTTTCAATTCATGAATGAATAAAGCATGGACATGGTTGAGCTTCTTTGCATGAAATGACGTTTAAAATAACAAAATCGAGACATATTTAATACAATTGCATTTATATCGAGTCAATTTCTTTTCAATAATATAACGGTATTTATAATACCGGTAATTTGGGTATTTTAGCCCAAAAATACCTTTAAATCGACTTTATCTTCTAGGAGTTCGACAGAATTTTTCCTTTCTTCGCTTAAATTTTTCCGTAGCACTTTTCTTCAAGAATCTGATAAGATTTTGCTTGAGGCAGATCAAAAAACTTAAATTTGTTCGAATAGCTTTCTAGATTCACAATACACGGTCTCGTGAAGGTGCGTTGTTGACCTTGCAGTGTTGGATCGTGAATTCTCTTGTTGTGCTGCTTGCCTTTTTTGAAATCTCTGTAAATGAAAACTAAAGGGGTTGATATGTGCGAGTTAATGACGCGCCTTATCAACACATTGTGTTGGAGTTCACTGCTTGTTTTTTTTTTTAATTTATTCGAATTGTTTGTCCTTCAGGAAGTTTTTTGCTTCTCCTAGTAAATTGACTTTTTGGACTTCTGCCCTTTTCGCATGTCTCGATTCGAATATTTTCAACTTCTCCAGTAAATTTGTACTTCATCGAAGGAAATTTGGCAACGCTTGAAGACTCGTACGGCGTTTTTTCTCAGCACGGCTGTACAGACCGTATTCGATAACGGATCGTGTATCGTTTGGTTCAAAACAATAGAACTTAACCTCAAACCAAACTGTAAGGATTTAAGTCGGAAAAGCTGAGAATGAGAAATTTCCTGACAATTTCACATTGCGTTGGCATTTGGTACTCAAAAGAATGAAAAATCTGTTACAAAAGACCCGTTCTCTCAGATTTCTGAATTTACTTTTGAGGCTATGTTTATGTTTTGAACCAATCGATATCCATACAATCTCACCCGTTTGATGTATCGAATACGATCTATTATAGGGATTGAGGACCCCTGCGAACCGATTATTGAAACTGATGGATAAAGCGATAGACAAAGACGACAAAAGGGATTTGGAGGGATCCTATTGGTGGAAACGGGTTGTTGCAATGGACAAAGGAGGTAGGTAATCGACTGAGTAACGGCAACCCACGAGAAACCCGACAGTTAGTCTATCATTTTCCCCCTTAGTCGATGAGAACAACCCATTTCAACCAATAGAATTGCTTTATGCCCCTTATGTCATCTTTGTCTATCGCTTTGTCTATCAGTTTCAATAATCGCCCCGCTGCGAATGCACTTGCGTCCTTGGCATCGCGTCTCGTCGGCCGCACCGTCTCCCATCGTGCGAACCCGGGCCCAGTGCATTCTGCACTTATCCTGCTCCCCACCCCCACCCCCACCCCCCCGACAGCGGGGGAGGGGCGATCTAGTCAGGGGGCGTGAGAAGGTAAACGGCGCGAGCTGCAATAGCGAAGTGGGTGCCAAAGTGTCTCGTTTTAAACGGGTCAATTATCCAAGTATGCAGTGCCATGTGCGGATGTGGGGGCTTCAAGCAGCACATCGAAAACTGGTACCCCCTCCCACCCGGGGGTGCCAGGCTGTGCAGGATTTTCACCCCCACTATATTACTTTAACTATAACTATATTACTTTATGTATATATTATTCTACCTCTCCTTCTCTATTGCTAATGATTAATATATATATTATTCTACCTCTCCTTCTCTATTGCTAATGATTAATATATATATTATTCTACCTCTCCTTCTCTATTACTAACATTAGTTGTTAGTTGTATTTTTTCGCGGATTTTCAGATTCCGCCGGATAGTCCGAGAGCCCGACGACATTTCGGGACAAACTCGGGACACACGGCTTGACTTCTCGAATCCGAACTGACGCGGAAAATGGTTGTCTGCCACGTGTTGGCACACCCCACGACGTGGCTAATGACAATTTTCAGTGTCAATTTGAGTGAAGTTATTGATTTAAGTGGTCAAAACTTGTGTCACGAGTTTCCCGCAAAATGCCACCGGGCTCTGGTTGCAGAAGTTGGTCTCTCGATTTTTTTAAACATCTTAACCGGAAAAAGTTACACCGGAACAGAAGTTACGGGCTATGCAGACGTACCGTCCGTCCTGGGCTCAGAGGCCGAAAGTTCCGTGTGCTGAAGCCGTCGCTTCGATTGCTCCGGGTGCTACGCCCGGAACTTTCGGCCTCTGAGCCCGGAACGCGGACGGTATTTCTATATACCCCGTAAGTACGGCTTCCACGGCCGGATTTTTTTTCAGTGTAATAAGTTGTCGACGTTTTGTTCGGTGGAATAGTGAGAGAATCGCTCCCCCTACTTGGACTACATTTTGCAATAAGGAACCACTATCTCTGGCTCTTCCATAAAACCACGTATCCGCATAGGGAAATCAATGGCATGTAAGTTGTTTCTAAAATGAGCCAGAAATAGTGGTTCCTTATTGCAAAATGTAATCCACTCAAGGTCCATGCACTCTGAAAACTCGGGTTCTTCATTCCAAAATTAGAAAATTGCTTTCCCTGGGAGTTTTTGCAGGGTGGCCACGATCAGAGAAAACCAGGAAAAGTAACGTGGAGATGGACTGGGGAGAAATCGGGGAATGGCGGTTGTCCCAAACATCAGAGAAAAGCTCTGTTTACAGAATGTACCGAATTTTTGCGTGTCGCAATACGTAATCTCATACAGATCTGAGGATCCTAGGATTGCGGCAAACGTACGACAAATCCTCGGTCGTAAGGCAGTTTTCAAAAGTGATGACTTTTCGCTTTATGCTATGCTAAAAAGGGTGACAAATCGCACATTTTACCGGGCATTTTGCTGTAATAGTCGCCCGTTTAGATATGTGGCATATCAGAAATCGTCTCCCGGACGACGGAACTTAATTCCCTTCTAAGATTGCTAAATTGATTCAGACAATGATTTTTTTTTTTTATAAAAATGTACCGGTGCAATTTTTATCTAAAATTTTCCTGATTTTTGTATGAAATCTGAGGAAATACCAGTGAAATATTCAGTTTGGAATGCCCAAGATTCTCCTAGTTAATGTGCAATTTGCGAGGGCAAATTTGGCAACATTGAATTGGAGTTAAGTTCTTTCGCGTGGGAAATGACGGAATGTGCTGTGAGGCAAAAACGCCGGATCGCGACAAACAGTCGGCGTTTTGGAACTTTCTGTACCTTGGATCTCAATTTACTCCGTAGCTGGGTCCGAAAATCTTTCTCTCATTATTATTTTATCATCCGGTTTTATAGGAAAAAGTCAAGGAATGTTTTTTCCATTCGTCGGGGAAAGTCAGGGAAGAAGTTCCGGGTGCAGCTGAAGCGACGGCTCCAGCACCCGGAACTCTCGACCTCTGAGCCCGGAACATAGCCCTGTAATTTTGTTTCAGTGTTATGCCCAAGATTTACCTACATTTGCAATTTTCGAGGTTTACATTTACAATTTGGCTACGGTGAGATTAAAATTACCCCCCGCTTGACAGCGCCTTCACCCTCGTTAAGTAGTCTTTTAGAACCGTTTACACCTTTCGTCGTTTTTCTCACACGTTGCCCGGGAAAAAAAAGGGGGAGGAAAGCAAAACTGGTTCTCGGACGGATGCTGATCGGGTCGGGAATATTTGCATAGATGCGCCGCGCCGGTTTACGAAGAGGGGGAAGGGGTTCGCTTGATCGGTGGAATTCGTTCAGTTGCGCAGAATGCAACTCCAGTGGTTTTGAGTTCACCTTCTTTGACGCTTTGTGGCTAGATCAAGGTGTCTAGTTTCTGTAAAATCAGGGAAAATCAGGGAATCCATCAGGGAATGAGGGCTGGATCCTAGAGTCCCTTTATACCCAGAGTTACGACATCTCACTTGTGGTCGGGCTTGGTTGGGCTGAAAGTGGCCTAAAAAAAAATCCAATTTTGATAGGTTCTCGCTCTTGCAGCCTCAAAAGAGTGCACCAAGATGGCGGTGCCTCGAATGTAAACAAAAATAATGAAAATATAACCAAATTGTGATTTATCAAGAGTGAATTGTTATTTTCATCGCACCAAAATGAAATTTATCCACAAATCAATCTAATTTTATTTTTTCCGGTAAAAAATCAGGGAATATCAGGGAATAGGGTCAATGCAAATCAGGGAATAGGTTCTTCAGTCATGAGGGAATGGGCAAATCCAAAATTGCTAGACACCTTAGCTTAGGTGTCTTATATTTCGCTCTATTTATTACATTATATTCCTAAAACATAAAAAAAATTCTTACTTACATGTAATCGGTTCAAGCGTGTGAAAAATTAGGAATTTTTTCCTTTTTGCCAGGGAAATGTCGGGGAATTTTGAATTTTTCCCCGATTTTTTGGCAGTTTTTGTCTGGGAAATCAGGGAAACTTCAGGGAATTTTTGTTTTGAAAATTGCTAGATACCCTGATTATTGTGATTATCAGTAGTTTCTACGCGTATCAATAAAAAATAAACTAATAAGTAATCAAGTAGGATTACGCAAGAGCTTTGTGGCTCATGTTAATAATCATATTACAATCTCACTCCTTTTCACTACTCGATCTAAAATATGACACGGACATTCTACTTTTTGTTTCAGGTTAGTACCCGTGGAGATTCCATCACATATTAATTCATGTATATATTTATATAAATATTTCTCAGCATTGTGGCTCGTGGATTTGTCTCGAAGAAATCGGGGAATTAGAAACTGCGGTATCCCGGGGTGCGCTCACGAGGTATGTAACATGGTAACACATCGAAAAGCCCTTGAGTTTTCTCTATCAAATTTCTAAGTCCTGAAATATTTGCAGTTTTGGGAAACTGCTCAAATTTTCTTGAGATTCGTTGAATCGTATACGAGGTCTGTTAGATTAGAAACCGAATTTTGGTCATAATTAGCCCACAATGCGTCTGAATTAGGTTTTCTTCAGCTTTCCTGATAGCTGAAAATATACTAAAGATCGCTACGTTCACAGATTTTGTTTATTTTGATCAGTGTTTTTTCTGTGTCGTCTTGAATACGAGTAAGTCAGGTGCGTTTTGCGATTTTCGTCATGCGATCACTGATAGAGCAAAGATTCAACATTAAATTTTGTTTTAAACTCGGCATACCTTGTACCGGAACTTTTGGTATATACTAAGTTAAGTTTACCATGATCATTGTATGAGATATTCCTACTGTTTTGAATGGGTTAAACGATTCAAAACTGGTCAGGAGTTCTTCAAAAATGAGGAGCATGGGAATCGACCCTCAACGGCAACTCACATTTGTCACGTGGAAGAACTGCGGGCAAAAGTGCTCGAAAATGGTCGTTTCGAGCTTGTTCAACAGAGTATAATATTTCTGAAGGCTCTGTACATACAATTTTGATAGAGTATGTAGACACGCATCGAGTTTCAGGTACACTTGCCCCTTGATTGTTGTCCGTTGAACGAAAATCCAACCAAATGTCAATTTCCCTTTAGCTGCTTGAACGTTCTAACAATGGGCCTGTTGCAAACTTTTGCTAGAGCAAAAATAAGAGTTGTTTCTTATAGATAATGCCTCAAAAATCACGATGAGCGCATCGGCAAAGTCTGAAATGCACTCATAANAACACCCTTGAGGTTGCCTTACTTCAAGCCACATACCAACGATGCTAATTAGGATGTTTCAAATTTGTGAACGTAGCGTTCTTAAATATATTTTCAGCTATCAGAAAAGCTCAAGAAAACGTAATTTGGACACACTGTGGGCTAGTTATGAGCAAAATCCGGTTTCTAATCTAACAGACCTCGTATTGTCAGAGAATAAGATGGGAATTACCGTTCGGCACCAGTTGCTCTTTGAGTAGGAACAACAAACTACTTGGGATGGAATTAAATAACGAAATTTTGAGATGGAAATTTGGAATTGTATTGAGACCGAAAGAGAGAAAAAGTTACAGAATTACAAGATTTGAAATAGTCACTAAAAGATGTGCCAAAAGGGCGAAAATGGGCACTACGTACTAGTACGGGTCGGGGATGGAGTAAGACCTAGATTTTGGGGCAGCGCAAGCTTTTATAGACTTGCTGACGTCACAGGTGGTGAGACAACAAGTCTACACGCCATTGGCTGGCTATAATGAGTGGAGCTATCAGTTGCAAGTTCAGTAATTAAAGTAATGGGTGATTGTAGGTGATGGCTGGGAGATAGACGTGAAAAAGACAGAAATGAACGAAATCCAGCCATCCCTAATGATTGAATTGAATTATGCATGAAAAATTATAAGTTTAGAAAAGATCAAGTTACTGGTATTTCAATACCTGTGACATATATCAATTGGACGCATTTATATCAAACGGAACTATGTGCATCGTGACGTGAGCCGTGTTCTGCATATATCCTTATGGGTCTCGGGGCTCATGTCTAAATGCACATAGTTCCGTTTGGCAGAAATACGTCCAATTCGTTAACTGTCGCAGTTAATCGCCTGAGGATGAAGGCACGGCCCGCGAACCGCGTCTTACGCATCGTGAAAATTAATGAGAAAGCGAGTTCGACAATTTTGAACTGCGTAAAGTTGACCAGTTATCTTCGCTCTCAACCGTAGAGGAAGTCAATGTTTTTTTTTGCCTCGGATACTATTTTAATTCTAATCGCGCCTCTTGTCCTCTGCGCGTAATACATTCGCATGTTGATGTATTTACTGACATCATTTCTTCATTTTTGAGTTTATTTGGGAAGATTTCTTTTGTGTGCAACGTGTTGTGCGTGAGATTTTGATGCGGAAGCATGTCTATACGAGGTCTATTCTGCCGTGCTGCATGAGAAAGAACGCCGTATGACATTTTGAGCGTTGCCAAATTTCCTTTCAGAAAATTTTTATTTTAGACAAAAGTTATGAATATGTATCCTCGAAATTTTCGGACTTTTTAAATCTAATGACAAACGCAATCCTCTGGAAAATCGGGACAGAAATATTCACAGATTTTCCTGAAAATTCTTAATTTGTCGGAGGAAATTTGGCAATGCTCGATGGATTATACGGCGTTCTTCCTTAGCACGGCAGTATTCCTCGTCGAGTCTTGTGGTCCACTAAATTTTGATCACAGCGCGTGAATACAACTATTCGTGCTTTGCAAATGTCCGCGTTGCATACACGAAATACCGAAGGCGCTCTGACTTTTCCCCAACCATATTGTGAAGTGCAATCTTCCAGCTCTCTTTTACGAACTAATTTTGGGCAATAAAAATTGTCCACTGAATCGTTATGTACTGAGCCCGCTCTCTCGAAACTTCATCTCTGCTCTTACGCGCTCGTCGCCATCATGGTAAATCAACCTCGGCGACTCTGCCAGATTTTCCGTGGTGCTTCGTTTCTTGGCCTCTAAGCCACGACTAAAGGAAGTGGAGATTCTTGAAAGTCGGCAAACCTTTTTTTCCTACATCTAAATGAATTCAAAACAATTGATTCTCGGTGAGGCAACTTGTCTCACCCAGAATCGATATCTGTAGTGGATTTAAATGGAGAGAAAAAAAAGTGTTGCCAACTTGCAAAATCGCCACTGACCATAGCGATCTACCTTTGCACAGCGGGTTTGTCGCACTGTATTGTTGTTTTGCAATAATCAACGTGGTTTTTATTCGCGGGGAATAGACAACTGCTCTGCAGGTCGACGAATAATCATACGTTGCATTTAAAGTACTCAATTACCGGTGGTGTATTGTGTTTTGCAATAAATCTAGTGATGTACCGCTTAACTCTATGGAAAAGGACCGATTATCAGGATGTTGGGGATCACAACAAACACCTCAGTTATCGATTCTTAAGCATAGCATTGAATAGGAGAAATCGATAGTCCATGTTTCGTGCCTCGCTACTGTCGTTTTCCACAAACCTCTTATTCTCAAAATCGTCATCTAAAAACACGGGGGTGTACATCTGAGAGGTGGAAGGAAAATTGATGGGATGGGAAGGGAAGGGGCGAGGAGAAAGCAGACGCTAGGAACGTCGGTTCAAGTCTGACTTGCTGAGAAAATACGTTACACGACGAAGCGGACGTTGCTGAATTTCCCCCAATAAAATACGACTTTTCCCAGATACTCGAGAATATTTCCCAGATTTTATAGGATTGTATTTGAAATAAAATTTAGTACAACCGAAACTTTTGAGTGGAAACTTTTTCGTATTTTCTAGCGGAGAAATTTGAGGAGTAGGAGTTAGGTGGGAGTAGGCTGGTAGGAGGTAGGCCCTCAAAGACATAACCTTATTGGGCAGGACGAATTTGCTGATTTTTCACTTTTCAAAATACTTTTGTATATATCTGTTCCAAATACTATCATGCAACGTTCATAATTGACGTTATCGTTCTGAATAACATTATAATAGATAAGGTATGCACTGATCCTCCGAAATGTTGTCCAATCGGTCAAAATATCAATAATTGGATTACAATTTGCAATTCAGAGCTACTATTTTTTAGTCGTTCACACGTGAGCTATCTGTGAGAAATGGCACTTACGTTGTTCCTAAATTGAGTCGGTACAAATATTTCCTAAATGTAATAAAATCCAGTCCAATTTTCCATCCGCATCGTACATCACTGGAAAAAAAAAAACACATTGGATCTAGAGTCCAGACTTTTGAAAACTCGACAAGAAAAAATACTCTCGATTCAATCGGATTTTTGCTTGAATCAAAACGAAACCCGCTTAAATAAAGAGACCTGGTTCTTGATTTAAGCTAGATTCTGATTGAATCAAGAGTACTTTTTCTTGTCGATGTTTTTAAGAGTCAGGACTCTAGATCCAATGTGTTTTTTTCCAGTGATGTACGTTTAAATCTTTGGTGCAATCCCTTGGACTCGCAAGTCTAGTTAATTCTGAAGACGCGAAAGTGACATTCATTATCCTTTTGCTTCATCTTGTAAAGTAGTTACATCTTTATAACTTCAGTCATAAACACCTGCGCTCACACTAGCTGAAATTTACTTCTGTCCAGGATTCTAATCGGATTGATCCGGACGAAAATTCTCACCCGCAAGACACATGGACACTCCTCAAAACATTACTTGGAAGAAAGCATCGGGCGTAACACGCGTGATGGATCCGACGGAAAACGTCCCCGAAGTCGGTAACACAGGTACCATAAAGCATGAAGTATCAGAGTTGGATACGAAATCGGCATTCGGCGAAGACCGCGCCGATCCTGTCCTCCACCCCGTGAAAAGAGAGAACGGAACTTCTTCATGTGATGGCTTCATCTCTCCTATACCGTTCCAAGGCGATTCCCTGTACGGTTTTTCCGCTCGCGTAAAAGTCGAAGTAGAGGAAAGTTTAACCGACCTGTTGCGTACAAGCATTGAAATTAAGGAAGAAGACACTTGGCAATCCGACCAATCGGAATGCCCAGTAAAAGGCAGTGCAAACGATGTCGGAAGTGATTCGCGTCATACTTTGAATCGTATTCCATTGACTCCGCCTGTTGGACGTGGGAACACCAATGGCCAACCTCCCCACCAACTCCAAGATTTCCGTGAAATAAAACTAGAATCTAATGGAGACGCCTGTAACAGCAAAACGTCTTACGAGCCTCATATTGAAAGGACAGTATTTCCGACCGATGGAGCTGAAATCCGAAACAAACTAGTCAGAAGCACCCAACGTTCTGTATCTTCAACGCGTAAAAACCTTCCGAAAAAACGTATGCGGCCGCTTAATGGCGAAAAACCTTTCTGTTGCAGTCATTGCTCTTCCTCTTTCAGCCGAGAAGATCAGTTAAAGCGACATATTCGAACGCATACTGGCGAGAAACCAATCATTTGCAGTCATTGCTCTTTCTCTTTTAGTGGAAAAAATGCTTTAAACCGACATATCCGAACGCATACTGGCGAGAAACCTTTCAGTTGCAGTCATTGCTCTTCCTCTTTTAGCCGAAAAGATCATTTAAAGGGACATATTCGAACGCATACTAGCGAGAAACCATTCATTTGCAGCCATTGCTCTTCCTCTTTTAGTCACAAACATGCTTTAAAGCGACATATTCTAACGCATACCGGCGAGAAACCTTTCAGTTGCAGTCATTGCTCTTCCTCTTTTAGCGTAAAAGATCATTTGAAGGTACATATCCGAACGCATACAGGCGAGAAACCATTCATTTGCAGCCATTGCTCTTCCTCTTTTAGCCAAAAAGGAGATTTGACGGTACATATCCGAACGCATACTGGCGAGAAACCTTTCAGTTGCAGTCATTGCTCTTCGTCTTTTAGTCGCAGCAATGCTTTAAAGCGACATATTCTAACGCATACAGATGAGAAACCATTCATTTGCAGTCATTGCTCTTTCTCTTTTAGTGGAAAAAATGCTTTAAACCGACATATCCGAACGCATATTGGCGAGAAACCTTTCAGTTGCAGGCATTGCTCTTCCTCTTTTAGCCGGAATGATACTTTAAAGCAACATATTCTAACGCATACTGGCGAGAATCCTTTCAGTTGCAGTCATTGCTCTTTCTCTTTTAGTGGAAAAAATGCTTTAAACCGACATATCCGAACGCATACTGGCGAGAAACCTTTCAGTTGCAGTCATTGCTCTTCCTCTTTTAGCCGGAATGATACTTTAAAGCAACATATTCTAACGCATACCGGCGAGAAACCTTTCAGTTGCAGTCATTGCTCTTCCTCTTTTAGCGTAAAAGATCATTTGAAGGTACATATCCGAACGCATACAGGCGAGAAACCATTCATTTGCAGCCATTGCTCTTCCTCTTTTAGCCAAAAAGTTACTTTAAAGCGACATATTCGAACGCATACTGGCGAGGATCCTCTCAGCTGCAGCCATTGCTCATCCTCTTTTAGCCGGAAACGTGATTTAAAAGTTCATTTCCGATCTCATACCGGCGAGAAACCTTTCGCAGTTGCAGTCCTTGCTCCTCCTCTTATATAGTCAAACAGGTTAACTGCAAAGCCACATATCCGATCGCAGACGGGTGAAAAACCCCTTCAGCTGCAGTTTTAGCCTTTCTGTTCTTGTCGAAAAGACAATTTAAATCTATATATCGGAAAGCGTACGGGCGAGAAACCCCAGTTACAGTCATTGCTGTAGCTAGGTTGTATTATATAATAAATGCTAACCGTGAATCGATGTATATTTTTGAATCTTACGTATTTTTTGAAAATTTATTCGTTCTGTTCTTTTGATCAGTCTGATAATTTTTATGATTGCATTAGTTTTATATGAAATAAATTGTAACAAATGTTTTTGATATTAAGGATTCCGTATTTTGCTGAAAATGTAACTCGACGTGACATACATTGGAAGCACTCCGGCGAAAAACTTTTCAGCTGCAGTCCATGATTCTCGTCTGTTGCTGCCTAAATCAATTTGATGCGACTAATTCGAAAGCACTAGTTGAAAAACTTGTCCTTGCTCTGCTTGGCTTACTGTGAAACGCCTTATAGCGAACTGCAAAACACTCGCGAAAGCATTGCCTTGAAAAACCATTCAGTCGCAGTCATTTCTCCGTCTCTTTTGTTGTATAATATCGTTAATTATAACATGAAAATCAGCAAGAGACCTTTCAATCTTGTTTACTCCGCGCCCCATTTGGTGAAAAGAATAACAAAACATGTATTTTTAATTCTAAGAATCCCGCCTGTATTTAATCACTGCCAAATCTATTCAGTATTTTGAATTAATTTCGAAATGATAATTGGTGTTTCCTTTTCAGAAAAGTGTCTTGAACTTAAATCTATCAAATACAACTTATCAATTTAAAACGGACCTTTTATTTAACGAGCACATCTTGTGTCATCATTCAAACTGAACTCCATGCAGTATAGTGAATAATTTGTAAATGGTTATTGTAGTTTTTTTCCAAAAGAGTGTCTTGAAATTAGAACTCTTACGTAAAAATGTGTATTAATTTAAAACGGTCCTTTATTTAACGAACACCTCTCGTATCATTCAAACTCCTTTTTTTTCTTTTTGTAAAAACAATTACAACTTTTTTTAAGTCTCTCTGCTTTAACTCTAAGTCTTTACTTAGAGCTTTGCCAAAAAGGGGTGTTTTTTAGCCCCTTTTTGAATACCCGAGTTTGTCAACCGGACAAGGCTCAAATGGAAGCTTGTGGTAAGGCAAACTTCCAGGCAATGTTTCAACTCAAAGTGGCCCCTCGTTTAGGCTGTACAGCGTTGTCAATTTTTTATTTTTATGTTCTAAAATCAAGGAATTCTGAACTATTAATCCAGTGCATCATAGTTAAGCAGACGAGTACGCCCGAGTTGTTCAACGAGACAAGGCTCAAATGAAAGCTTATGGTAAAGCAAACTTCCAGGTAAAGTTTCAACTTGAGATGACACATCATTTAGGCTGTACAGCGATGCCAATTCTTCATTTTTTATGTGTTATAATCGAGGAATTCTAGACTCTCAATCCAGTGCATCATAGTTAAACAGACTAGTACACCCGAGTTAGTCGACGGGACAAGGCTCATATGAAAGCTTATGGTAAGGCAAACTTCCAGGCAAAGTTTCAACCTGAAGTGACCCCTCGTTTCGGCTGTACAGCGTTGCCAATTTTTCATTTTTATGTGCAAAAATCAAAGAATTCTGGACTATATAAGTCAAGTGTATCATAGCAAAACAGACTTGTACATCAGTTTACAGGCTGAATACCACCCCGAGATCGAATAGAAACGCAATTAAAGGTCATCGTGAACTTTTCGAAGCAGTGTTGCCAATATTTCATTTGTTTTTAAAACATAGAATGTGGGTATTTTCGAGATTTTTGGCGGAAAACGTATATCTTCATGGGCTATAACTTTGACGAGTATACGCAAATTCAATTTTTGGCATGAACGAAAACTAAATGCTATGGCATGAGGCTCTCTCGCCTGCTCCCGGATTAGAGAAAAGTACTGGAATCACGTTTTGCTTTTCAAAAATGGAGCTAAAAAATATCTTCGTATTACCGTAAAAATGCCATGAAATGGTCACATTGGCTTAAAAATTCGTCTGCTCCATCAAAAACCAATTCTACAGTATTGCATGGTAATATTTTGCCTGCACCAAATGGTGGCAGCACCAAGAAGTACAATTTTCTGGTCTGGTTTTTCAGTGTAAGTCACTCCGCAAGAAGGGTAGATTCCGCCCCGCACTCATATCACTTGGGTCAGGGCTTTGAAGCGCTTAAGGGCCTGTGTAGCGAAAGTATGGATGGATCATTCCATGGAAGGCTTAGGGCCCAGGAAGGCTGCCAACCCTATTACGCAATATGGCACCGTCAATCTTCGGATTCTTATATCTTACCAAGATGGCCACGAACACTGGATAAAGTCTCTAGAGTCCAGACTCTTGAAAAATTTGACAAGAAAAAGTACTCTAGACTCAATCAGATTTCTGCTTGAATCAAAATGAAATCCGCTGAAAAGTCTCAGCTCTCGATTCAAGAAACTTTTTGTCCGGTGAATCTGCATAAATGAGCGTTCTTTCGCAAAAATGAGTAAAATGCAAAAACCAAGTTTAGCAGGTACGTGCTTTACAAACGACGAGTCGCAACAATTGTAATAATTAATCCTGAATAATTTGAATTCATGGGTCGGCTGCCTTTTTGGGCCCTAATTTTATTCACGGATGCACTGGCGGCGAAGGCCTCCTGGATTTTCAGAGTTTTACACCTTTCCATACTCTCGCTATATGACTCTATTGGACGCTTCATCGACTCCGGCTCAAAATGGAGATGTTGCACGTGTGAGGAATTTGCGATTTGACTGTAACATGCTTTTGTAGAAGTTCGCGAGAAACACGATAGTGCCGCTGGTTTTCTCTGAAATCAACTCCCAAGCTTAAAAAAAGCTCTAAAGTTGAGGCCAAAATGGAGGGGATATCCCTCGCTATCCTGAGAGTCCACCTCTACATCAAGACAAACTCTCCATGCAAAGATAGGGAGCAAATGCATTGACAGGGCTGCCACTTTATTTGGAGACTCCAAAACTGAAATCACGGCAACTCTGTCAATGTATTTGCTCCCTAGCTATCTTTGCATTGAGAGTTTGTCTCGATGTAGCGGTGGACTCTCAGGATAGCGTTGGATATCCCCTCCATTTTGACCTTAACTTGAGAGCTTTTTCTGAGCTTGGGAGTTGATTTCAGAGAAAACCAGTGGCACCATCGTGTTCCTCGCGAACTTTTACACAAGAATCAACAGTCAAATTGCAAATTCCTCACGCATGCAACATCTCCATTTCACACCGAAATTTTTTAACACACTGAATAAAAAACTCCGGCCGTGGAAACCGTACTTACGGGCTGTATAGACATACCGTCTGTGTTTCGGGCTCAGCGGCCGCAAGTTCCGGGCGTAGCACTCGGAGCAGTCGAATCTGCGGCTTCAGCCTCCGGTACTTTCGGCCTCTGAGCCCGAATCGGACGACATGTCTATATAGCCCGAAACTTTTTTTTTTTTCAATGCAGGTAATCGGAGGTGATTGAATGGGGCTCCAAGAGCGCCGATCAAAATTGATTAATTTTCGTTGTGCAATTGGACGTATTTCTATCAAACAGAACTGTGAGCAGGTGAGAAATATGGGGTGTGCTCCAGAAAGCTGCATAAGAAACAATGTAAAAGTGTGCATGATTCCTTTTGAAGAATTGGAAAAGCGGGATTTTACATTCTATCAAACAGACCTATGTGCCGACTGAATGCGGGATTCATGAGCCGCCAGGATGGGACGAGAGCGTTGTGGACAGGGCTCATGAGTTAAAGCGCACTACGAGGAGCACGAGCAGCAGCATCGACGGCATCCANAGGCTGCAGCAGAGCATGCATTCCGAACTTATTTGCAGGTCCAGGAGTGGCAGGGCGAGAAAAAGGATCCTTGCAATTGGGGCTGGAAAGCCACCAAAAATGGGCTAACGCCTATAACAAATTTGGATTCACCAGCTCCCGAAATTATTTTAAAGCTAATTGCCTGCAAGTGCAAGAAAAGTTGCCGCAAGACTTGTGGGTGCCGTAAAAATGGCTTACGATGCACCATTCTCTGTCAGATGTGCAATCAATCCTGCGATAATTTTCAAATGGAAGATACCCTAGAAGGGGAGGAAGAGGAAGGAGACATCGATAAACCGGAAATTATGACATTCTTAGATGATCATCAGGATTGTGAACCTGGCTCATCTACGCCATCAACGCCGGTACCTGACCAAAAATCTGAAACTGACAGTGAATATGACGAAAGTGACCTGGAAATTGAAGAACCAGCAACAAGAGTACTGCACTCAAACAAAGCAGTGACACATATTGATCCGAAACCATCCAATCAAAAACACAAGAACTCGGATGTGCCACAAACTGATCTCACGAAAATTCCGGGACCATCTACAATACGCTGTAGAATATAATTCGGTAGAAACATGATTTGCATTTCATAACTTTGAATGCAGAGTATAATTTCTTCAAAAATTGCTTGATTTGTGAAAATTAAGAAAACTCTGAAAAGTCTTTATTAAAACTTGAAAAAGCTATGCAAATGTATGTAATAATACAGTCCGTCTACTTCTAAGTAAGCTTTTTTCCGTCCATTTTTCCTATCCCCGTCCAAAAAACCGAACCGTTGCTCGAAACCGATGAAATCACCGATGAATTTATTCACGTTTCATTCACTAAAATGAATTGCGCCAATAGCGGTAATTGCCAGAGTGAGGAGGAGGGGGGGGTGTAATTTGTGACAATTAATTATTGAGGGTTTGGGGGGGGGGGGGAAGGGTCACCTTCCAACGAAATTTTACAATCTGACTCGTAAATCAGTCCCCTAGAAAAGTCCACAGAAGAGTAATTACGCAGATACTGGCGAACTCTGCCCATACTCGGTTTAGCTTTTTTCAATGCGACTTCAAAAGCTTGTCAGTGCTCCAGGATTAAGAAAAATTTAGAAAATAGCAACTCCTAGTATTAGATTTGTTGCTCTATCAGTTTGATAGTTAAGATTTTTCACGTAGAGTCGCCCTGAGAAAAATTATTCACGAGAAAAGCGCAAGTTTCGCGAAATTCGAATTTTGGCGGTTTTTTCAGCGCGCTCTGGCGGCTTAAATTTCAGTCTAATCAAAAAATTGATAAGAACCTGTTTACTTTAGAATTTTATGTAGTTTATTTTTGATAATAACTACTTTGGTCAAAAAATCAAAAATAAGCGAGATATTTTCAAAAATTGGGATTTTAGGCCATTTTTAGGTCATTTTTTCAAAATGGCGGCTTTAGCGGCGAAAAGATCTTTACACAAATGCGAAATTCGGATTCAGCGTCCAAAATTACATAGGAATCACTCATCAAAAAGTTTTCCGGGAAATTTTCCCCAAGAACTTCCCTATTGCCTGGACTAAGTAGGAACTGGAATGCGTGTCGATTATGGGAGCGGATTCCGGCAGCTTATCCATCCGTCGATCGGGAGTCGAGATTCAGGAGGAATGCTATAATGCTAAGTGCGAATGTTGGCGATTATTAGCGTTTTTGCCGCCAGGCCGTGTCACGGTGCTCTTGACAGAATTTGCATTTCTACGTTGATAAGTCCGGCTCACGCTGGAGCGGGTCACCGTTTAGCGGCATGCACGGAATCATTTTCCGATCGGCATGTTTCCTCTCTGAAAGCTGAGTTCAATAAAATTTCAACGTGGTACGGAAAGCATGAACATTTCAGGGAAATTTTCATTCAAAATTATCAGGAAATCCTGGTATTTGGACCAGTGTTCGAAAGTCACAGGCGCCGAATGCGCCCGAAAAAAT